TGAAATTTCTCAGGGACTTCTATCTTCTATCTGTGTGGTTTGCTGTGATCATGGGCAAATCATTTAACCTTTTTGAGTCTGTTTCCTCATCCAAAATATGAAAATAGTATTTGCACTACCTACCTTATACTGTGAAGAAAATACCTGGAAAATTATAATTTCATATTATAAATTATATAATTTATTAATTATATATAATATAATATATAGATTATAAATTATAATTAATAGGAACTATTGTTATTGGAGGAAATTGATATTTTCCCCTCTAGGTTTCTTCTACTTAAGTCAACAGATAAATGGGTTATCCCACAGTTAATCAAGGCACCCAACCAGAAGTTTTTACTATATTAAAAAATTAAATTTAACCAAACTTAAATTCCAACAATCAAAACAGTCTATATTAATGCTACATAGTAAGTATTCCAAGGAAGAAAATGCTTGGAAAATTATGTTTTACTTTTTTGTTAAGGTTTGCTCTGTTAATAAATCTTCATGATTTATATTCCTGGTACTCTTTCTGATCTTTAAATACTTTTAGTTTCAAGATGACTTCCAAACATTTTCTAATATTTAAAAAGGTAGCCTCTCCCTTAAAATCATAACTTCTGCTTCTTAAGCCACTTAAAAAATTCCATTTTAGTAAGCTTTGCTAAAGAACTGTGTTTACTCTGATTCAGATTATTTTCAGCATTAATGAAGTTAGATTTCCCTACATGACTAGTGAAAAGATTTTCAAATTACACAAATATTTCATTGAAATAAGGAAACTATAACATTTTATAAAATGTAGTCAGCATGACTATGCCTATAAAAATCCTAAAATGAAAAACAATTTCAAATTCTACAAAAAATTTGTTATACACAAAATCCATGTTACATACCTTAAAATTCTGCTTTGCTTTATTTTATAAGCTTAGAGAAACAAGTGCTATATGTATTAAAGATATTCCTTTAAGACTTCCAAATTACATTATATTTTGAACGCAATTCACGAGCATGACATTTAAAGGAATCCTGTAATACACTACTACTTGATGTAAAATATTGTTCTTGAATTAAACTTTTGCAAACTCAAATTTTCACACATTAGGTTTACTCACATTAGGACATAACTACATAACTTACTGGATCAAATGTAAACTTCTTTACAATTTTTAAACAATCTAATTTCAGCAAATTAATGAAAAAAGGTTTAAATATGAAAGTTGTTTTGGTATGCTTTTTCTTACTTTAAGAGAATCTTTAAAAAATTTTGTAAGTAATTTAAAATTAAGATTTCCCTTTAGCTGGTAAAATACAATATTTTCAATTATTATTTTGAGCACATACTAATAATTTCTAAGAGGTTAGTTGGTATGTCTTACCCTTACTTATATTTATGATGTAGTTATGTTAGGTGTGAAAATTAATAAGATTTCATTGCACTGAAGATCTACTGTGTCATTTTAATTAATGGATTTCACAATTTTACTATAAAGATATATTCCATACAAAAATAACAAGCATAATGGGCACATATTTACTTCCTAAGTTGTTAACTTCAATAAGATAACTTTAAATAACCCATAAGATCAAATAGAGAGCAAAGGTTAGACTATTTAAATAACCACATCACCAAATTCAAATTGACAAATGTCAGGCCTTATCAGTGGTGACAGTTACAGAAGTTATTCACTTGAACTTGCAAAACACATCCCAAATCATTTGCATAATTAAATGCTTTCAAATTAGGTATGCATTGTGGATAACTCAAATCAGAGTACTTTAAAAAAAGTTATGTCAAAGGGCCAGAATACTTAAAAGTTTGCTTTATTTTCAATTTTCTTCTATTTTACAGTGAAACCTCAGTTACATTTTCACAATTTAAAATTTTCCACCTCTCTTCAGTCCCATCAAATTTCTTAGATTCCTGAAAAAATGTCAGAATTTTTACTAATTTTTGCACAGTCACCTATACTAAAGTCTTTGATGCCACTTTCAGTGTTTCCAGCTCAGGATCACCTCCTCAGGGCCCTTTTCTTTTCCCAAAGAGGGGTAGTGATAATCCCAGACACCCAATATAAAAACCAGAGATGTCTGTTTTTAGCTGAGCTAAAAAGGACTAACAGAAACTGATGGTGAGAGAATAAAACTGCAGAGCAAAGGGCTCTTTTTCAAGTACACACATAGGTAGTATGATTCAATTTAACAGTGTTAGTGATGACTCAACTTGGCTGAAGACAGACTCCTTTATTACTGATACTGTTCCCATTATGACCAACACTGTCATAAATTTTCAGATTAAGTTAAATTATTTCACATATTTTCTCAGCTTCCTGGGAAAGAAAAAGGATCTTAAAGAAGAGATGTTGCTCTGGAAAATGTTAACTTTTGCAGAAGCTCTGGCAATCATGCAAATAATTCCTCTCATTTATAATTTTCTGTCATGTATAGCAGCCCTCATAATTCTCAGGAATGTATAAGAGAAAATTTTACTCTGTGTGCATATACATATGGATGAATGTTTCCAGGCAATAAAAAATCCTTTTTCTGAATTTCTAGAGTCTCAATATACTGGACCTCTCTATAAGGATACTTTTTTACCCTTTTACTCTTTATTACAGTTTTATTCTCATTCAAAGTTGAATGGCAGGATTCAAGATCAGAAGAGGGGGACCATTTTGAATGAAAAAAAGACAAATATTGACTGGTTATAAAACTTATTCATGTCCTTAACCAAATTTTTAAAAAGGTTTTACCAGAGACAGAAAAACTGTTATCCCAAATTTCTCATCTCTAAAATAGGTGGCACAAGAGTCTCTAGCAGAAATCATTAAAAATTTACATTATTTACCCTACATGATAAAATCCCTTAAGCCTTCTCATGACAAATAACAATATTAAATGCTCAGAAGTAATTTACATCACTGCTGCATTTTTCAAAATCTTGAAGAATACAAAACCCCCAAACACATCAACACTACCCCATCCTCACTTGTATAATTTGGACAACAAATTACAAAGGAAAGGTCTAATAGTGATGGAACACGCGCTAGTTTTTCAAAGCCAAAAGGGACCCTGGAAATCATCTAGTCTAATACCCTTGTTTTAAGGATGTGCAAACTGAAGCCCAGGAGGTGAAATCACATGACCAACATCACACAGATCAGAAATGGGACAGTCAGTATTTGAACCTAAGTGTCTACATCACTTTTAGTCAGTGTCTTGGAGACAATGGGCATTCAGGTATGTTTACTTCAGGCTTAAAAGAAGAAGACATGGTCTCTATCTTCAAGGAGCTAAAAAAATTAGTTATCTATACAGAGTCTAAGGGCAAACTCTATTACCTCCCAATGAAAATTTTTGTTATATTTAGAAGTTTTGTTTCTAGAGATGATCTACAGGAAAAAATTCTTAATGTCTGCAATTCCAAATTAGGGAATCTTAGTTATTAACTCTTGTACAGAAAAATACATCTAGGCAAATTTTCCTACAAGCTTCACTAAACAAGTTCCTCAATATGTTTCAATGACATTCCTAAGAAATTGAAGAAAACCATGCTTAGCAATATATTTTTTTGGCAGTGACTTTCAACAAAAGGCCAAAATGCAAAGAATGTTTTTGTGATAGGAATGTGCCAGACTGGCTCTATTAATGTTTTATATCACATTTGAAGCTAAGAATTAGCATTTAATATGGACAGCAAAAGCATCTCCAACTCCCACACTTAAAACTTTGGTCAAGACACAGAAGCAGATTAAGAGATATCAATCAAAAGTAAATCACAGCAAAGGACAAATGCCTTTAAAAAGGGCTGGCCATTTAAGATTGATTATCAGCAATTATATTGAAGAAATGTAGTCTAGTCTTTAGTTTTAGATGCTTCTCTTACACTCACAAATTTCAAATAATTAGACCCCCTTAAATTTAAACTCTTTTAAGTGACTGTATTAGTTAATGACACTTCAGCATTCTCCCCACTACCTCACTCCCCCTGAAAAATATCAGATACCATGATGTATCAGAGTCATAATTTTCCTGATTTTGCTAGTAATACAAAGAAATCTTTTTTCAGAAGCTTCATGACTGAGAATAAATGCTAGGGAAAGGCTTAATTTAGGGACTGAGTATGTGTAAATCTAGAAAAGAAAGCACAGATCAGGCAAACTAAGCCCTAGAGATAACAATGTGACTAGAAGCCAATTAAGTTAAGCAGTTTCAAAAATTATTTTCTATCCTTTGGGCAAAAAGTAAATCACAGGTGAGACATGGGACATAAAAGTAAAAAAAAAATCTAGGAAAAGAGACTATTTTTTAAGTTAATAGAAATGGCTGAAAGTGCAAAAGGGTATTTTGATCAAAATAGAGACTAGGAACCTCTACTCTATTTACAAGGAAACATTAAACAGTCAAATTTGATCAGTATTCACAATGCAAACAAAGCAATATGACTAGGTAAAATGAATAAAGAATTACTACTAATACTTATTAGTTTTTAGCTGAAGCAATAATGATCTTACAATTGTGTATGTCATTAACATATTTCCTTAATGGTCAATGGAATATTGTGCTTTGTGACATAAAACTCTAAATTATTTGTCTGCTTCAATCTCTACAAAACTGAACAAGTTCACTGTTTCAATGTGTCACAATAAAAAATTAAACACAGCTTTGCTCACTTCAAAGTCAGTCACTTTGTGAAAAGAAAAGCTGAAGAAAATACATAGCATTCTATATGAAAACACCTTATATCTTACTTAGATTAAGCCTATTTAAAGTTAAGTTTTGGGAAAAAAAAAAACAACCTAGATCCTAATAACACACTATAAAACCTATCTGGCTTATCTTTCACCAAAAAAATCTTCAAAAAACTAGATACCTCAAAAATTAATCTCCTTCATACATTATTAGCCAAACTAATTTCTCCTCTTTCTGACAGGTACAGCTCTCTCACCTACGGAAGGCATGCTGCCCTAGCTAAATGAGGAATCCTGTCTATTGCTTTCAAATGCACCAACCTTCTCAAAAACACTGGATGGGGTCATCAAACAAAACCTGATGTTCTGAATGATGGTATCGGTATGTCTCCAGCGTCTTCTATCATGCCGCAGCCAAGACTGAACAGCCTCGTACAGTTCTATCTCTGGGAACCTGCTCAGACGGTCATTATCCAAATAAGACATAAGCTTTTCAAAGCTCAGATAGGACAGGAAGTCAGGTCTTGACATTAGTGGCACAAAGTTCTCTAGCAGAAAGGAGTCCAACTTCTCCCTGACTCCCTCGATGTTTACACCAAAATCATCTAAGAGTCTCATAATTTCTGCACAATTTTCTAAGCAGATTTTGGCTAAGAGAAAAGAGCAGCAGAACTTCACCACTTCTATAAGTTGAACATACATGGCAGCCTGTAGGATTTCATGAACAGTATTCATACTCAGTTCTATAGTTCCATAGTACATGAATTGTAGGACATGGCTGAAGCCTGTAGCAGTCAGACCTTTCAAATGAATTTTGTCCTGATCTCGCTCCCTCATGTCAGCTGTGAACATTATCCTGAAGTAGTCACTCTGGGTGGCAAGGAGTGCTTTATGGGCCTGGAATTGGTGATCTTCAATGACAAGTGTGACATCAAGAAGCAATCCCTCCTCATACAGTGCTCTGAACCCAGCAGAGACACTGGTGTCATGGATGGAGGAACTAAACCCTTCCACGTCCCCTGCCATGAATCACCTGAAAAAAAAGTAATCAAAATAAACAGCATTAATCATTCCCATATTTTGAAGACATCTAAATAAACTCTTCTAGATTAAACATACTTAAACAATTATCTGAACTGTGTCATCTTACTCCTAATATGCAAGCTCTTACAGGTAACAAAGAATACTGCTTGCAAGTTATGCTGTTTTGGTTTCCCCAACCTTGAAGCCCTATAAAAAAATATAACAATGCATCAATAGCAAACAATATATAAATTGTTAACAGTATGAAACAAGCTTAAAAACTGTAATGTTAAAAGGACGTCCACCTGATACTAAGATGTATATAGTCTACTGATTTCATATCATTCAGGGTCAATTATTTGTAAGGACTTCCAAACACTAGGCATTATAAAGGTTTTTTCTTTAAATTGGTGAGATACAGATTTTATAGGCCACATCCTCCTGGACTGGCTATAACCTCCTAACAGATCTTCCTGCCTCGATTTTTCTACTTTTCTAATCCATCCTTCATATCCACTACCAAAATAAAGTTCTTCATACTAAGATGCACTCAGGTCACTCTTCTGCTCAAAAATTTTCAGTTATTCCCTATTTCCTGAGTAAAACTCAAACTCCTTTACCTGCCATTTAAAATCTGAGACTTACTCTACCTCATATCATATTATTCCCCTTCATTTATTCAATGTTACAATCAAACAAGAACAATTCTCTATACCCAAAACATACCCCAGGCCAGAATGCCCTCTCCAACTCCTATTTTTGACTACTACTTTATCTTTTAAAGTCCAACTCAAATGCCACCTTCTCCCTGAAGTTTTCCATGATTCCCTATCAAAAGACTTTTTCAATATAAAACCTCACAGAGAATTTTTTGCCACCTCTCACATAATGAATATTATGAGTGTCTTGTCTTCATTATGTATTTTTGTCCTATTCTGTAGAATGTAAGGACCTTGAAGGCAGAGACTGTCATGTTGTTGTCTCTGTATGCCTAGAGCAGTCTTGCAAAAAAAAAAACTGTTTGTCAAATTGAAATAAATACTAGATGGGGGCAGCTAGGTGGCAGGAGGACCCGAGCTCAAATCCAGCCTCAGACACATGATACTCACTAGCTGTGTGACTCTGGGCAAGTCACTTAACCCCAATTGCCTCACAAAAAAAAAAAAAGAAAAGAAATACTACATGGCAAGCTTCATTAGAGTAGGATATCTATACAAATTTGGTAACTTCTGAGGCTCACTGCACAATGCCCTGCTGAATGCATGCTGACTGAACAAAAGAAAAGTAGGAGCTCTCAGTTTTTAAAAAAGGTAAAATACTTTTGTATATTTTTTAAAGCAAAGTAATAAAAATTCATGGAATCCTAATGGACAATATGGAAAGATATAGATTAGGTGATAGTACAATTGAGTGAACTGAGAACCAATTTAATGATCAGTCTCAAAACCTGTTCATTGACAAGTCATCATCTTGAAAAGAGGTATCTAGTGGACTGCTACCCTTTCCTTGGTCCTCTCATGTCCAACATTTTTAATCAGCAATTTGGATGAAAACACAGATAGCACGCTTGTCAAATATGTAGACAGCTTACGCTGGGAAAGATAACTAATACTGACTGACAGAATCGGTATCCAAAAAAAAAAATTTGGAAGGGCTGAATCAAATAAAATGAAAATCAATAGAGATAAGTTCTATATATGGGTTCAAAATGTCAATTTCATGTTTAGACAATAATTCTTGGGGGAAAAAAGTGTCAGGTATTTAGTGGACTGCAAGCTATCAATGTAAGTATACGGTGTAACATGGTAGCCAAAAAAGTTCATGTTATCCTAACTGCATTAAGAAAGGCAACATGGCATAGTAGAGAGTTGGCCTTGGACTCAGAAAGACCTGAGTTCAAGTCTCACCTCTGACATATTCATATTGCATGACCCTGGCTGGGGGCAAGTCACTTAACCTTTGAATACTCAAAGTAATTCTCTAAGAATTCTATAAATTGACATAGCAGAGAAAATTCTATCTTGCAAGCTCCCTAACTAATGAAATCACAGGTCTAGCTTTAAAAACATTTTTAAAGGGTCCAGAATAAAAGTGATCATAGTTCTGCCATATTTGGTCCTAATCAGCCTATATCTGGGGTGTTCAGTTATGGATACCACAAAGCCAAAAATAGAGTTCATTCAAAAAGAGGCAATCATAATGGTGAAAGGACCAGATGGATTTTTAACCTGGAGAAGAGAACCCCTTTAGTGGGGTGATAATCAAGGTCTTCAACAATCTATTACACAGAAATATACTGAGACTTATTCTGCTTGGCTCCAGAGTTAGGATTAATTGGTAGAAGAAAAACAGTGTAGTAGAGTGTAAAAAGTACTGGTTCTAGAGTCTGTGGGCCTGAGCTCAAGTTCAGCTTCTAATACTACCTGTGTTTCCTTGGACAAGTCACTTAACCTCTTTGGGTCATAGTTTCCTCATCTATAAAACAAGGTTACTGGACTAGACAGCCTCTAATGTCCCTTACCACTCTAAACCTATGATTTCAAAGTAGCAGAGATGCCCAATAGAAGGTAAATCTTCCTAATGATTAGAGCTGCCCAAAAGTGACACTGAGTAGCCTAGAGTTTAGTGGGTTCCCCTTCACTGTAGATCTTTAAGCAGAGATTGGATCAATAGTTGTTGGAGAAACTGTAGAAGAGAATCTTGGTCAAATACAGGTTGTACTAGATGGTCTCTGAAGTTCTTTCCAGCTCTGTGATTCTGTAATTCATTCTTCTTATAATTTGAAACAAAATAACTTCCATCTCATACACTGGGAAGAATTATAGAACACTAAAATATTAAAGGAAAAACAAACCAAAAAAAAAAAAAAAACCCCAAGGAAATCCAAATTGTTAACATATATATACATTCACACTTTCCCTTTATTTTGCTATACTGAATAAATGTGTGTGAGGCGGGGTGTCTAAATATGCATGTATGTGTATACATACATGCATGCTTACAAATACACATTATCGTGCACACAGTTTATGTATATAGATGTTTAAACACACATGCATATGCAGAATATCCCAAAATTCTTAGACTTTTGAGACGCCATGTATGTATATATTCACATGTATACATATATACACAACACACATATGTACACACAATCTTAATTCTGAGATAGGTTCAAAATTTGTGAATTCATTATGGAATACTATTTTTCAATTTTACTTTGTCCAAGAGAGCATTTTTTTTTTGGCTATAGAAAAATTAAATAAAAAACCAACAGGTTCTCCTAATCCTTTAATAATTAAAAGTAATATACTTTCAATGTCATGAAACATTAGGACTGAATAATAAGACTGGCCAGTACTTTGGAAAAATAGATCTAAAATCTATTTCAGATATTATATTTGTCAAAACAGGCTTACTGACATAATCAAATTTAAACTAGTCTAGTAGCTTAATCTTAGTTATCTGAAAAACTTTAAAAAACAAAACACATGAAATAAGAACTTTAGAAATAGTACAAATACACTAGGTTATCAGAGAATACGATGTTGTAGTTCATTACAAGGGATACACCACACATATATACATATAGATTTATAAACAGTCCATACATTATTTACAAATTTTCCTAAGAAACAAATTACACTTGCAAATTCTACTGAAAATGGCCCTTAGCCCAAGGGTAATTATTACAAACAGGAATGATTACTGAAATATCAATATGGGTAAGTGAAAGTACTACTTCACAGAGCTAAATTAAAAGCTAACAGAGGGGCAGGTAGGTGGTGCTGTGGATAGAGCACCGGCCCTGGATTCATGAGGACCTGAGTTCAGATTCGGCCTCAGGCACATAACACTTACTAGCTGTGTGACCCTGGGCAAGTCACCTAACCTCACTGCCTAGCCAAAAAAAAGCTAACAGAAAGAGAAATAACCGTTTATAAGTGTACTTTTAAGGCAGTTTCTACTTTTTCACTACACTGTTAATTCACCACTACTTAAAACAGAGCTATATCTCTCCTCTCCTCAACTCTTTAACATTCTCTCTGGTAGTTTTTGTCATACTTGAGACATGGTCCAAACAACTTATTGTACACAATCAAAAGTATGCCTTGCCTATGTATATGCGTGACTTAGAGGTTAAAAATCCTTGAATGTTTTCCTCACAAAACAGCAAGAGGAGAAAAATGCTGAATTGCTTTTATTCATTCTATTTTGCAACCCTGGCTCCAGGAACGCATCGCAGCAAAAAAGTGTGCTGTCTATAAATGTATATATATATATATACATTTATATATGTGTATATATAAATGTATATAGAGATACATGGCATAAACTAAGATACCTTTTAACGTCATTGCAAATTCAAATAATTTTGATTCTTAAATCACTATGGAATACCTAATAAACCAATAAGTAGTAAAGCTTACCTGAGCTATGTCTATATTGTGAAATTTTAATTCCTAAATTACAGCATGTGTCCAATAATCACTCTTTCTAAATGAAAATGCAAAGTAGTTGAATCAGCAAGATCAGATCCTAGCAAAAAAGGGACCTTCTTTGACTCATACTTCATTTGTATTACAGTATTATGTACACATAAGGATTCAAATTATTTGGTGAATAACCTCATTTGGTTCAAGTATGTTTTCTCTGCAATGACATATATCTGAGTTTATTGCAATTAATGTTTTTCAAACAGTAAAGCACTGAGAACACGAACTCAGCCTCATATATGGACATGATTGTTCAGTCGTTTCAGTCATTACCAACTCTTTGGGACCTTATTTGGGGTTTTCTTGGCAAAGATACTGGTGTGGTTTGCTATTTCCTTCTACAGCTCATTTTTCAGATGAGGAACTGAGGCAAATAGGGTTAAGAGACTTGCCCAGGGTCTCACAACTACTAAGTGTCTGAAGTCTGATTTGAACTCCGGAAAATGAGTCTTCCTGAGTCCAGGCCTAAGCACCATATCCACTGTCCCACCTAGCTGCACAATACAGATTTTCA